CATACTGGAAAAGGAGGGAGGGAGTGTCAAGATTTAAAACAGTAGCCAGAGGACAAGACTAATTGGAGAATAAGAGTTGGCCTCGAAGAGTGCTGTGTGGTAGAAACAAGAAGTGAAATGCTTTTGGGACTGGTGCGCAAAGCCGAGCTCTCAGGGTACCCAAAGTGTGAGAGCTCACCAAGTAAGCTCAGTAGAAGGACGTAGTACTTTCAAATCTACTATTTTGGCCTCCTTGACAGCATGCATTTAAATCGTTTGAATAAACAATGTAAAGACATTGCTCTGGCTGGCATGTGGTAAGGTCTGCTTGGAGTTGACCAGCATGGATTGCCATAGCAGCCCAGAAGCAGTGGGTGAGGGCATGTGTTCTTGAGTTGGTGTCCCAGTCAGCTCCACCACTTTCTGGCTGTGTGACCTGAGACAAATTACGTAATCTTTTGGTGCCTAAATTTCTTTATTTTCAATATGGAAGTAATAATTACCTTGTTGAGTTTTTGTGAGGAATCATGAGGTAGTGTTTGTAAAGCTCCTAGAACAGTGTTCAGTGTGCTGTAAGAGCCCAGTGTTAGCAGTCATTACCAATATTACATGCTGGTGGCCTCACACCACACCTGTGGTGTGAGTATCAATCATCTTACCCATTTTGTGCTTGGTCCATTTGTTGCAACAGGACACTATGAATTGCTTTTTATGTTACTCATATTTATTTATATTTTTTCATAGCTTAACATTGATGCCAAAAGAAAATTAAAACCAAACTCCCTGCAGGTTAATTTAAGTGATTATTTTGGCACGTAGTTGTGCTTTAAGTTAGAATTTGATGTTTTTATATCATGCTTGGAATCAGTCCACATACTCTAATAGACTTGTAATTTATTCTCATCTAACTTTTGATGCAAGAGAGTTCACTTAAATCATGAAGCATAATTGTGTAAATTTGCAAAGATCTTGGGGGTGTTGTAGACAAGAAGGCCTGAAGACAGTGATGTTTTAAAATAAACTTTTGTCAGTGTTTACTGATGTATCTAGGATCGAGATTATCTTTCTGGAAATTTCATTTATGTATTTATAGTCTAGCATCCAATGGAGGGAAAACAATCATAACGGTCGTTATGAATTTCCGAACTCTGAAAGGATCTTCAGGGAGCATCTGATTTAACTCCATTGTGTAATTGAGAAAAATGAGGCCCAGAGAGTAACTGGCTAAAGTCACAGAGCTAGATAGCTGGCAGAAGGCTGAGGATAGAACTTGGATCTCCTGCCTCCCTGTCCTGACTAGTCTAACACATGCTTATGGTACAATATGTACTCAAATAGAAATGGGTATGAAATCAAGAATGTAATGTGAATTGGTTTTACTTTTTGATTTTCTCAATATAAAATAAATTCTATAAAGAGATAATTTTTAAATGTTTTTACTAATACTTCATTTTCACAAATGGCAAATGACTAGAGATCTAGTAGGAAATAGGATGAAAAAGACTCTTCTTTGGGTCTCTGTCTTTTTTAATAGTAAATACTTAAAGCTAAATTTTCATTTTCAAGGTAAGCAGTGGTACTTCTTGGTCAAGAAAGATGATGATTCATTAGTTCCCATTTTTATGTGTAGTTTAGGTCAATTAGGAACCTTTTGAAATAGGGTGTATTGAAGCTTTAATGTATGCATAAGTTGGTTGAGCAGTTTTAATTAAAACTTATCTCTATTTTGAAGTTAATTACTTTCAATACTCTGAGATTAATGAGGCATAGTTATGGCACCTCCCATGTTGTAGATACTCAATAAATATTAGTTTGGAAATTAGGACATACTTTGATGGTATTTTAGAATCTTACATATATTATAATGTCATAGATTCTTTCCCAAATCTGGGAAATACTCAACTATATCAAATTTTACTGGTTCAACTTAAAATTTTTTCTTCGCATGTAATTTTTAAAACTGTCTGTTTAAAAATAATTTCAAATTTGTAAAAATAAAAATACACACCTTTACGTATGCATATATATGTGTACACCTGCACACAATTTTTTTCTGAATCATTTGAGCCTAACTTACATATACTATGCCCTCTTTTCTAAATACTTCAATGTGTATTTCCTAAGGATAAAATATTCTCTTAAACACATTATAGTTATTAAATTCATAAATGTACACTGATATTTACTCTTTCATCTATATTCCCATTTTGTCAGATGACCTAATAAAGCCCTTTCTAGCCTTTTTCCCTCTAGCGCAGGGTCCAGGGTCAGCTACTGCATTTAGTTGTCATGTTTGTTAGCCTCCTTTTGAATCGAGAATATTTCCACAGCCTCTCTTTGTCTCTTATGACATTGATGTGTTTAAAGAATACAGTGTTCTTTGAGTTTGTTTGCGGTTTCCTTGTGATGAGGTTAAGGTTATGCATTCTCCGTCAGAATGCTGCGTCAGTGACACTGTCACGAGGCACTTGATGGCCATCTGACACTACTGGGGATCTTAATTTTGATCACCGTGTCAGGGTGTTGCCCAGTTTCCCCGATGCAGAGTTGAGGGTTTTTTTCCTCCCTTGTAACTAAATAAGCAATCTGTAGGAAGACAAAGGCAAAATTTTCCGTAGATTTAGCATATGTTAATGATTCTTGCCTGACCTTTACCACAGTAGTTGCAAAGAAAGGATGTTCCTCTTCTAACACCCCCTCCACACTTAACAGTTAGTCTTTGGCTTTCTCCTGTGGGCAAGAGCTGGCCCTTCTGTTTTTTGTTTCGTTTTATCCATTTGAGCATTTCTTTACTTTCTGGTATAACAAAATATTTTGAGATCATCTTGTACCTTTCTTGTCCAAACTATAGCATTAAGCATTTCTTGAGGAATCTAGTTCCATTTAGGGGGAATGATAGTAGAGACCAAGATCTGGGCGCTGAGTGTGGTCATTGCTACTATGGTGTCTCCCTTTTGACCCTTTTGGCAGACAGAGCTAGGAAATGTATATGTACACATACACACACACACACACACACAGATACACATATTTTCGACATCACGAGTATACACCAATGCCTTCCATTTTGGTCCATCTCCACACAGTTCTTTTTTGTCTTCCTCCATTCCATGTTTGTGTGTCCCTTCTTCCACAGTGAGACCCCAATTCCCAGCAGCATCAACATATTTATTCATTTGCTCATTCCTCTAATACAGTTCAAAATAGTTTCGGAGTTGCTTCACCTCCATTAGTGTGGTAAGCAAACCTTGTAAAAAGAGTTAGGAATTCGTTTGCAGTTCTCTCTTTCTGGCCTAAGACCATATATTATGGTCTTACGGACTTATGTAAGTCATATATTGTCTTCATAAGTTGTTGGGTTTTTTCTTTCTTCCTTTTCTTCGTTTCCCTTCAGTTTAGTTATGTTATTTATTTGAACTAAAATTACGCTCATTTGTTTTAATTTACCTTCAGTTACAGGTTTCTCCCCATTCCTATTCTTAGTATTTTAATTTTAATTTGTAAATATATAGAATATTAACATGCTCTAAAAAATCAAAACTATAAAAAGATACCCTCTTTGGCCAGACACATTGGCTCACGCCTGTAATCCGCACACTTTGGGAGGCTGAGATGGGCAGATTGCTTGAGGTCAGGAGTTCAAGACCAGCCTGGCCAATATGGTGAAACCGTTTTCTAAAGATAGAAAAAATTCTATCTTTACTAAAAATATAGAAATTAGCTGGGTATGGTGGCAGGCTCCTGTAATCCCAGCTACTTGGGAGGCTGAGGCAGGAGAATCTCTTGAATCCGGGAGGCACAGGTTGCAGTGAGCCGAGATCACACCACTACATTCCAGCGTGGGTGACAGAGCAAGACTCCATCTCAAAAAATATATATACCCTCTTTAATGTTCTAATTTGATTCCCATCTTCCCTTTTATGAAGTAAGAGATCTATAACTAGCAAAAGGGCATTTATCATAACTATATTCAATTTTATGGTTATTTAAAATAAACCCTATCTACTGAGATTGTAAGGTAACTAAATTTTCGGAAACATACTTCAGGCTCAGTGATTTGTAACTTTGATTCCTGGAGATAGTAGATCTCGATTGTTTTTTCATTCTTATAGTACACCAGAGAGTGACTTTCCAGTGTTTTCAGGACCTCTGCCTCCCGTGCTGCAGTGGCCAGTGGAGGTCGGAGTACAGGAGGGATGCAGGTGTGCTCCCCAGCCCATTTTGAGAACTCCTGCTGTGGGATTAAGGAGAACATTAGAACCTCCCAAATGTGCCTATACAAAAGACCAGTGGCTGTGTGATAAGACACAGCAATTATATCAAGTAAGCAAATACAAAAATTTTAGTTCCAGATATAATAGAAGCGAATATAAATACCACCTTAGTCCCATGGTTTGCGGCTTCCATTATTTGTGGTTCAGCAAAGATGCCTGTGTTGGAATTTTATAGTTTGATGATACTCTTGGCAGCATATCTGAAAAGCCACACAACTAGATGATTTATGTCCATCTTGTGTTCCCCGTTTCTTTTTATTTCTTTTCTTTTCTTTTCTTTTTTTTTTTTTTTTTTTTTGAGACGGAGTCTTGCTCTGTCACCCAGGCTGGAGTGCAATGGCGCGATCTCGGCTCACTGCAACCTCCGCCTACCAGGTTCAAGCGATTCTCCTGCCTCAGCCTCCCAAGTAGCTGGGATTACAGGCAACCATCACCGTGCCCGGCTAAATTTTTTTTTTTTTTTTTTTTTTTTTTTGTATTTTTAGTAGAGACAGGGTCTCACCATGTTGGCCAGGCTGGTCTCAAACCCCTGACCAGGTGATTTGCCCGCCTCAGCCTCCCAAAGTGCTGGGATTACAGATGTGAGCCACTGTGCCCAGCCCTGTGTTCCCCATTTCTAATATCATGTATACTAGGTTTATAAATCTTTAATCTAGGGTGAAACTGTGGCACACCAGCTGGTAAAGAGCTAAAGGTATCTAGGTGGGAAGTGTCATTATACAACTGTGTGTTTTCTCTTTGCCTCAGCCTTAATACAGATACTGGCAGCTGCTGCAGCTGAGCGAGATGTGGTTTATTTCACCTTTGGGGACTCAGAATTGATGAGAGACATTTACAGCATGCACATTTTCCTTACTGAAAGGAAACTCACTGTTGGTAAGTAGGAGATACTCTTGACACTTGGTATCTAGATGGATTATACACCATTCAGTGGAAACACTTGCTAAATCTGGATGAATCACAGTGGGTACGAAGAAACAAAAGCATGACTCTGAGCGGGAAGAACAAAGCTCTCAGAGGGGCAGCATGTGCAGAGTCTTTTTGTTCTGGCAAAGTTTCATCCACAGTCTTGATAGAGTACATCAGCTTACTAAAGTAAGGTCAAGAAGCTGGAGTTAGTGTTCATTTTTGCTTTTGTGTCTATAAAAATCTAAAATGGGAGAGATGAATGAAGGTAAGTTCAGATCTGAGAAGCACCACTGTCCTATTTCTTAGACCTGCCAGTGCTCATCCAGTGTGCTTCCTACCTCAGGAGCTAAGTGTATAACGAGGGCTGCCGTGAACTCCCAGGAGGGTGCATGGACAGTGTACCTGTATAACCTGTTGTTATCATGAGCTAAGAAGTTGTTGCTTTAAAGAGTTTTTAAAATTTGTTTATGTTGGGAAAGCCTTTCAGGCATATGAAATTCATGCTGTATTTTCAAAAGCCAAATCTGAGCATATGCTATTTAGATTAAGATAAAACTGGAGTGTTCTTTCTAAGGTTTTTTTCAATTACATACTTTAATGTGCCTCTGGTCTGACCTTTGGCTCTCCAGGAGACGTGTATAAGCTATTGCTACGATATTACAATGAAGAATGCAGAAACTGTTCCACCCCTGGACCAGACATCAAGCTGTATCCGTTCATATACCATGCCGCCGAGTCCTGTGCAGAGACTGCTGACCATTCAGGGCAAAGGACAGGGACCTGAGGAGCCGAACGAATAGCATCTCCTCCCACCTCCCACCAGAGACGTCCTTTTGAGCTGTCAGGTGTAATATATGAATTGACTTAAGTTAATATAAATGTGTATATAATCCACATTTGTAGTCAAGGACGCAATCTCTTCCACACATATGCAATTGTCAGTTGATACATCTAAACCCCCTCCATCCTGACTCACGTGGACTTAGGTATGTTTTGTTTCTATTTTCTTCTTTTTCAGTTTTCATTCTTTGATGTTATTTCTTTTGTCCATCAGATCTCTTGTGAAATCCCATGGAAGGTTGTGCTCAGCCTGTCAGGTCTCTTTCTTCCTGCCCATATATTATACCAATTGCTTCTGCAGCCCACAGATGCCAGCAATGCCAGGAAACAAGTTGAAATCCAGGAATCTCTTTAACTGATTTTGCTAAAAATCTCCCTGTGAGCCTTCCACTGAACTCTTAATAGGCTTGCATTGTTTAAGTTTTTAAATTCTGAAAATTAATAATTAGGGTTTTTCTTCATATATGTTGCATAATGCAAACCTCCTGGATTAAAATAATTTCTTTATTTAAGATAGAATAATTTCCAGAAATTGTCCTTTTGAGATAATCACTTTTATCTATAATGGTTTGTCTGTCGTTTTCCTTCTGATCAGTTCTTTTTATACCAGTTTTGAAAACTGACTGAGATGAAAGGAAATGTGGAATAAAAGGGGGTTTTCCTGATGTGGTGTAAAGAAAACAGATTCGAGAGAATTGAAGATTTTTTTTGTTTCTTGGTACTTTTTTCTTTTTAAATTAGCACTAATGTTTCTTTTGTGGTGCTTGAGGCATATTCATATAACCAAAGTTTGGGAACTGGGAACTTCATGCTGATTTGTACATAATGAAGTTTCTCAGGTATTCAAAGGTTATATAGTGAATAAATTTTCATTAATAAATCACTTTGTCAGAAATTCCCATATCTATATTTTATATATGTATATATAAACATATGCTCTTTAAGTGTGTCTATATGTGAGCACATAAAATCTAAATAAAACTGGACTGGTGGGAAACAATTAGGTTTAGGCATTATCTGGGTTCTGTTTAACGTCCTTTATCACAATTGTCCATTTTTAAATCTGGCGACAAACATAAACAATAATGTCTTTCAGAGGTTAAAGTGAAAGCCAAAGCCAATCCTATGTTAACCGAAAGTAGAGTTTCATCACAGAAGCACTACTCAGATTTCCAAAACAATCCTAAACCACCCTGTTGATGTTCTGGTTTACCATCAGCTGTCAGGAAATGCTAATAGCGGTCAAATCCTATTCATAAGGCACTTCAGTGAATGGCCTGACCTCCTGCTACTGGTGGGAAAATGACAGGGCCTTGGCTGGTGGCCATAGCTCTTTTTGTTTATGTAGAGATGAGAGGATAGTGAGATTTGGCACCTGAAGGCAGCCACTTGTCACTGAAGTTTTTTACCACAATAACTAAGATTTTTAGTCATCTCTCAAATTTGGAAGAATCTGTCTTTAGTTCTGTTGATACTAAAATCTTTCCCAGTCTGTGCTTTGGTTGCAGATTCATGGTTGTTTCATGTCTTCACTTTTTCTAGCCCCACACTCGTCCCCTCCCGTGCAGCCCAAGACTGAGTGACCAGTTCTTTAAAATATTTCATGAACAGGGTAGGTTGGTTCTTGTGGTAGAGAAATCATTAATCCAAGTAAGAAGTCACCCAGCTGGGTATTTTGGAACACAGAAGGTAAGACTCTTTTGTGGAGAGCTGTGTAAACAAATGCCTAACTCCTAACATAAATGTAAGATGGGCCAGCTAAATGCCCTTTGTTGACTTAATACAGGAGCTAAGAGCCAGTCAGTGACTGCCATCCCGATTCCACTGGGGCCTAAACTCCAGGAAGGTAGCACTAGAGGTTGCAAAATTCTATTCTAATGGAAATGTTACATTTCCCTGTAATGAATCCATACAAGTAGGGCAAAAAGTGAAGTGTCTTTTATTGTAGCTGGAATTATATTACCTCAATCCAAACAGTATAATTTATTCCATAAAAGACAAAATTAGCTTAACAAAGGAACTTTACTTGGTTATCAAAGTATTTTAAAATATGGAGACCTTGGGGATAAATTAATACAGGAAGTTCTTGGTGGTAAAAGGTGGAGACCATCATTGTGGAATCTCACATTTTCTATTAAGGTTTGTAATAGTCCTACAAACTTAGACATAAATTTTTAATATTTGATAAGGAACATTCACTGAAGAATTGATAATAGACTCAAAAATATAACTGTTATCGATTAATACATGATCTGTCCTTGAACACATATTCGCCATTATCTAAATCTCACATTATTTAGTTTATTTATTCCGCAGATACCAATAGACATGTTTTCACATTGTAGCATCTCCCAAATCAAAATACTTCTAAAAATTGGTAGTATGTCAGCTGGGCGCAGTGGCTCACGCCTGTAATCCCCGCACTTCGGGAGGCCAAGGTGGGTGGATCACCTGACACCAGGAGTTTGAGACCAGCCTGGCTAACATGGTGAAACCCTGTCTCTACTAAAAATACAAAAATTAGCTGGGCATGGTGGTAGGCGTCTGTAATCCCAGCTACTTGGGAAGCTGAGGCAGGAGAATCGCTTGAACTCAGGAGGCGAAATTTGCAGTGAGCCGAGATCATGCCATTGCATTCCAGCCTGGGTGACAAGAGCGAAACTCCATCTCAAAAATAGAAAAGAAAACTGGTAGTATGTGTCACAGCTTGCAGAAATTTTTCCTACTGGTACATAAAATTAAGATATTTTACAATCTATGGCATCTTGTATTTGACAAAACATGATGATTTGAGTAACAACTATATGCCAGTCACTTTGAAGCTTTGGAGCTTATAATTGTGACCAAGATACTCTGAGTCCCTGTTAACAAATTTATACTGTAGCAGGGAACATAGACAGTAGCTATAGATAAATCTTGATTATTGTAAGATTCTGTAATATTAGAGTGGGGTAGTCAGGAAATTTTTTTTTAAGGAGCATTTCAGAGATATACAAAAATAAAATAGGGTAATAAACCTCCATATACCCATCACTCATCTTCAATATTTATCCGTTCATGGCTAATCTCACTTCCACCTATATTCCTACCCATTTACCCATGCCAAATTATTACGAAGTTCATTCCAGACATTATATTTTATCTGTAAATCAGTATATCTTAAAAAGATGACCACAGCATCATCACACACACACATCAAAATAATCGGGAAAGGACTTCTGATTCCAAAAGATGGAGTAAACATACTTTTCTCTATTCTTCCTTCTAAGCTCATTTAAAAAGCCCTGAACATTATATGTAAAACAGACAAGAACACGTTGAAAGGTGGAAAAAAGAAGGCAGAATCGCTAGAGACCTTGAGAATCAAGGAATAAAATAGTGGTGAGTTCCCTGGGTTTTCTTACTGCCTTGTGTATCCCATACTTACTACCGGTTACTGGAGAACCCAACAACCTGGAAAGGCTGCATACAGACAAAGGTTCGAGAAGAGCCCGTTTGCTGTAGCTAAAGGACCGGGAAAGTGCAACCAAAAGCAATGACACATTGTCTACAAGACAAACACAAAAAAAGAAAACTAAGAGAATTAGTTGCCAGCAGATCTGTCCTAATAAAATGGCTAAAGGAAGTTTTTGTTTGTTTGTTTGTTTAACAGTCCAAAGGTCTTTTTGTTGTTGCTGTTGAACACCTATTATGGTATGAATTAGTAGAGAATAGGTTCTGGCAGCTCAGGCTCCTTGCGATTGGTTCTCAGAAAGTGTGCTTCTCTGGGCAGAACAGGCTGGCACCTCAGTTAAGCCCAGGTACCTTTCTCTTTGGCTTCCTTCTTTTTCTGGTCATTTTCCTTCACACTTCTCAGTATGCTATCTCACCCCTTAGAGTCCTTACTACACTCAATATGCACATTAATCTCTTGACAAGAGTGTTTTCCTTAATTTGTTTACAACAATGCCAACAGCATGGTGGGTAACATTGTGGACTCCCAGTTTTGCCATGGTAACATTTGTGGGACATTCCTTTTCAAACAGTTCCCATACTGATGTCTATGGTATGACTTTTCTTGTTAGATTCATGTGTATGTGGCCAAAGGAACAACTGCATGTTATAAAAGGCCCAGAGAACATATATCAGGTGCCTCTCCTCTTTCCTTTTGTGTGTGTCATTTTGGTGAATTATTGGAAAATGGTGGTTCTGGCTGAAATGCTAAAGCAGTTCTTGAAACAGAAAGGAAACCATCAAAGAAGGAATCTTGGAAGATCAGGGAGGAAGAGTAGAAAGAGTAAAAATATGGGTAAATACAGTACACCTTCATAGGTTTCTAAATTACATTTATTGAAGCAAAATTATAGTTCTGTCTATTGGGGTTTTCACTGAATATACAGGAAATAATTGTTATAAATGTGGGAAAGAAAAGGGGCATACAGGTAAGGTTTCGGTTCACACAAACAGGTAAAATGTTGATGCCAGTAGACTGTGAAAAGCTATACATAATACAATGTAGTAGCTAGAGCAACCACTAGAAAGGCAACGAAAAGACATATACTCAAAAACACTATAGATAAACCAAAATGAAATTCTAAAAAAAAAAAAAAAAGTCCATTAACCCACAGGAAGAAAAAAAGAAAAACCAGTGGAAAAAAAAAGAAAAAGAAAAAGGCAGAAAAACCAAAAGCTGGTTCTTTGGGAAGACCAATAAAATAAATAAGTCTCTAACCAGACTAAGAAAAAAGTAAAGATACAAAATTACTAATATAAAAAATGGCCAGGCTCAGTGGCTCATGCCTGTAATCCGAGCACTTTGGGAGGCCAAGGTGAGCAGATCATGAGGTCAGGAGATCGAGACCATTGTGGCCAATATGGTGAAACCAAGTCTCTACTAAAAATACAAAAATTAGCTGGGTGTAGTGGCACGTGCCTGTAGTCCCACTACTCAGGAGGCTGAGGCAGGAGAATCGCTTGAACCCGGGAGGTGGAGGTTGCAGTGAGCTGAGATCGCACCACTGCACTCCAGCCTGGTGACAGAGTAAGACTTCATCTCAAAAATAATAATAATAAATGAAAGAGAGGGCATCACTACATATCCCATGACATTAAAAGGATGATAAAGGAATATTATGAACAACTATGTTCACAAATTTAATAAGCTAGAAGAAATGGACCAATTCCTTGAAAAACACATCTGCTTTAAATCACATGAGAAGAAATAGAGAATTTGTTTTATGACTAGACTATGACTAGACCTATGATTCTTAAAGATAATGAATCAATAATTAATGACCTTCCAAACAAAGCATTTGACCCAGATTTCTGGTGAATCCTACCAAACATTTAAGAAAGAATATGTACCAATTCTCCAAGTCGTTCAGAAAATAGAAGCAGAGAGAATCCTTAACTTAATCTCTGAGGTCAGCATTACCCTAACACTAAAACAAAGACATTACAAGAAAAGGAAATTACAGGTAATACTTCTTATGAGCATAGATGTAAAAATCCCATTCAGAACATTAACAAATTGAATCCAGAAATGTATTAAGATAATTATACACACAACCAAATGGGATTTATCCTAGGTATGTAAGGCTGGTTCAGCATTCAAAATCAGTTAATGTAATCCATTACATCAACAGGCTGAAGAAGAAAAATAACATGATCCTATTAATAGATGCAGAAAAAGCATTTGACAAAATCCAACACACATTCATGATTTAAAAAAAAAAAAAAAAAAAACACTTGGCAAACTAGGAATAGAAAGAAAACTTTGAATGTTACTAAGATTTATTTGGGGGAAGAAAGGAAAAAGAAAACTTCCTAAACTTGATAAAGAACATTTAGAAAAAGTCTACATGTTAACATCATACTTAATGGTGAGAAACATGAAGCTTTCCTGCTAAGATCAGGAATGAGGCAAGGATATGTCATATCACCACCGTTTTTTAACATCATACTGGAAATCCTAGGTAATGCAATACAACAGTAAAAGGAAATACTTTGTTCATAGATGACATGTAGAATTGACAAATAAGAAACTGATAAACAATTGCAGCAGGGTTGCAGGATAGAATGGTTTTTGTTTTTGTTTTGTTTGAGATGGAATCTCACTCTGTCACCCAGGCTGAAGTGCAGTGGCACAATCTCAGCTCATTGCAACCTCCACCTTAGGGGCTCAAGGGATCTTCCCACCCCAGCCTCCCAGGTAGCTGGGACTACAGGCATGCACCACCACACCTGGTTAATTTTTTGCATTTTTAGTAGAGACAGGGTTTTGCCATGTTGGCCAGGTTGGTGTCAACCTCCTGGACTCAAGTGATCCACTTGCCTTGGCCTCCCAAAGTGCTGGGATTACAGGTGTGAGCCACCATGCCTGCCCAGGATAGAATATAAAGTACAAAAGTCTATTGCTTTTCTATACACCAGCAATTAACAAGTGGGATTTGAAATTCAAAACACATTACCATTTACATTACCCTCTGCCAAAATGAAATACTTAGGTGTAAATCTAACAAAATATGTATAAGAGGTATATGAAGAAAACTACAAAACTCCAATGAAAGATATCAAAAAAGGCCGGGCGCAGTGGCTCAGGCCTGTAATAGCACTTTGGGAGACCGAGACGGGCGGATCACGAGGTCAGGAGATCGAGACCATCCTGGCTAACACAGTGAAACCCCGTCTCTACTAAAAAAATACAAAAAACTAGCCTGGCAAGGTAGCAGGCGCCTGTAGTCCCAGCTACTCAGGAGGCTGAGGCAGGAGAATGGCATGAACCCGGAAGGTGGAGCTTGCAGTGAGCCAAGATCCCGCCACTGCACTCCAGCCTGGGTGATAGAGCGAGACTCCCTCTCAAAAAAAAAAAAAAAAGATATCAGGCCGGGCGCGGTGGCTCAAGCCTGTAATCCCAGCACTTTGGGAGGCCGAGACGGGCAGATCACGAGGTCAGGAGATCGAGACCATCCTGGCTAACACGGTGAAACCCCGTCTCTACTAAAAAATACAAAAAAAAACTAGCCAGGCGAGTTGGTGGGCGCCTGTAGTCCCAGCTACTTGGGAGGCTGAGGCAGGAGAATGGCGTGAACCTGGGAGGCGGAGCTTGCAGTGAGCTGAGATCTGGCCACTGATCCCCAGCCGGGGTGACAGAGTGAGACTCCATCTCAAAAAAAAAAAAAAAAAAAAAAGGTATCAAAAAGAAGAACTAAATACGTGGAGGGATATTCCATGTTCATGGATAAGAAGACTCAATATTGTCAGTATGTCAGTTTTTCCTACTTTATAGATTGAACACATTCCCAATTAAAATCTCAGCAAGTTATTTCATGGATATTGATTAACTAAGTCTAAACTTTGTATGGAGAGGCAAAAAAAAACCAGAATGGCCAACTCAATATTGAAGGAGAACAAAGTTGGAAGACTGACACTGGATGACATCAAAACCTACTAAACAACCAGGTCTAAAATGATGGTAAATAAAGCTACAGTAATTCATACAGGCAAAAATAAATAGATCAATGGAACAGAATAGAGGCCCAGAAATAAACCCATATGAATACAGTCAATTCATTTTTTTGACAAAGGAGGAAAGGCCATACAATGAAGCAAAGACAGTCTTTTCAACAAATGATGCTGGAACAACTGAATATCCCATGTTAGAAAAAATAATAAATCTAGATACAGACCTTACACTCATCACAAAAATTCACTGAAAATGGATCATAGACCTAGATGTACAATGCAAAACTATAAAACTCCTAGAAGACAACATAGGAGAAAACCTGGTTGACTTTTTAGATGCAACACCAAAGGCACACTACATAAAGGAAATAACTGATAAACTGGACTTCGTTAAAATTCAGAACTTCTGCTCTCCAAAAGACACAGTTAAGGGAATGAAAAGACAAGTTTTATATTTGCAAAAGATCTGATAATGAACTGTTCTCCAAAATATACAAAGGACTCGAAGCTTAACAATAAGAGAAAGAACACCTAATTAAAAATGAACAAAAGGGCCAGGGGCGGTGGCTCATGCCTGTATCCCCAGCACTTTGGGAGACTGAGACAGGCGGGTCACAAGGTCAGGAGATCGAGACCATCCTGGCTAACACGGTGAAACCCCATCTCTACTAAAAATGCAAAAATAGCCGGGCATGGTGGCGGGTGCCTGTAGTCCCAGCTACTCAGGACGCTGAGGCAGGAGAATGGTGTGAACCCGGGAGGCGGAGCTTGCAGTGAGCCGAGATCACACCACTGCACTCCAGCTTGGGTGACAGAGGGAAACTGTCTCCAAAAAAAAGAACAAAAGACTGAACAGCCATCTCACCAAAAATGATACACAAATCACAAGTAAACGTATGAAAAGATACTCAATAATAACGTGTTATTAGGAAACTGCAAATTAAAACAATGAGATGCCACTACATACCTATTAGAACGGCCAAAACCAAAAGCACTGATAACATTAAATGCTGGCAAGGGTGTGGAGTAACAAGAACTCTCATTTATTGCTGGTAAGAATGCAAAATTTTATAGCCACTTTGGAAAACAGTTTGACATTTTCTTACAAAACTAAACATACTCTTACCATATGATGCAGCACTCACACTCTTTAGTATTTATCCAAATGAATTGAAAACACAAAAACCTGTACATAGATGTTTATAGCCGCTTTATTAATCATTTTCAAAATTTGAAAGCAACCAACATGTTCTTCAGTAGATGAATGGATAAAGAAACTATGGTACATCCTGGTCAGGCGCAGTGGCTCACGCCTGTAATCCCAGCACTTTGGGAGGCCGAGGTGGGTGGATCACCTGAGGTCGGGAGTTCAAGACCAGCCTGACCAACATGGAGAAACCCCATCTCTACTAAAAATACAAAATTAGCTGGGCATGGTGGAGCATGTCTATAATCCCAGCTACTTGGGAGGCTGAGGCAGGAGAATCACTTGAGCCCAGGAGGCAGAGGTTCTGGTGAGCTGAGATCACGTCACTGTACACCAGCCTGGGCAACGAGCGAAACTCTGCCAAAAAAACAAAAACAACAACAGCTATGGTACATCCAAACAATGGAATATTCAATACTAAAAAGCGAGCTATCAAGTCATGAAAAGACATGAAGGAAATTTAAATGAATAT